GGGACCCTGTGGGGCGGCCGCCATGGGGCTCCAGCTCCCCAACCCAGCAGGGCCGTGTCGGGACGGACCCCGGGCTCTGGCTACCCTGACTCAGTGGGGCCGCCATGGGGCTCCGGCTCCTCCAACCCAGCGGGACCGTGCGGGGCAGACCCCGGGCTCTGTCTGCCCCACCCCAGCGGGACCCCATGGGGCAGACCCCGGGATCCGTTGCACAGAGCTGGGTGCGCTGCCCAGGGGAGGCTACTGCCCCGAGCTCTACGTGCGGGAGCCCCGAGGCCGTTCCCACAGCAGTGTCTCCGGCAGGACAGGGCAGGACCAGGCAGTGCAGGGCACCCCCAGCTCAGCATCTCTGGGCCTGGCCGCACGGCAGGTCTCCCTGGTCCGTCCCGTGCCATGGACTGGGGCTGGAGCCGCAGCCCCTGCACACTCACCGGGCGCAGCTGGCCCCCGTGCTCACACTCGCAGTGGGCGGCGGTGACACAGTGCCCACTGCTGTTCCGGTACCGCCCGGCCTCGCACACGCAGCCTGGCGCGGCCCCCACGCTGCAGTCGGGCCGGGACTCCTCGTAGATCTGCCGGCAGGTTCGCTCGCAGGGCGCCGTGGGGCCGGGGCCGCGCCAATGCTCCCCTGTGGGGCAGGCTGCAGCAGCAGAGACATGTCAGGCTAAAGGCCCCCAAACCCACCCTCCCCGGAGCAGAGCGATGGGCCCCCCTCGCTGGGCATGCCCCCTTCCCTGCCTGCTGCACAAGGGCAGAGCCATGGGCCTCGCCACCCCCGTCCCTGCCACCCTGACGCTAGCGAGGGGGGAAGCCCCGGTGAGCAGCCAGTGGGCACAGCCTTGCTGCAGCCACTGGGGGGCCCAGGAGGGCGGCTCCCCTGCACCCCCCATAGCATAATGCCCAGCAGCACACGGGGACCCTGCTCAACCAGCCACCCACCCCCACACCGCGGGGCTCACCGCAGTCGGGCAGGGAGCAGGGCGTCCGGCGCGTCGGGGGGCCCAGGCACTCGGCCCCGGCGTACAGGCGCTGCTGCAGCTGGTGCCGCTGGGAGATCCGCACGCCCGACCCACACGTCACTGAGCACGCGGACCAGGCTGACCACGCGGACCAGAGGCAGTCCACTGTGGGGAGAATGGGGGTGGGGGGAGTCAGGGCCGAACCCACGACAGTGGGGGGGGAGGGGTTCAGTACTGAGCCCATGGGGGGATCAGAGCTGAGCCCCGACATTCTGTGGAGGGGGCAGCACCAACCCCAGGGCATTTGGAGGCTGAGATGTGGGTGCTTGTCTGTTGCCACTTTCCCCATGCTCGGAGGAGCTGGGCTGCCACCCCCGGTCCTCACCGCGTGGGCTCCATGGGTGCTGCAGGAGCAGAGACCTTCTGCCCCACAGCACCTGCCCCCCGGAGCAAGCTCCCTGCACTGCCAGCGCTGCCTCCCAGTGACCACCCCCTGCCAGGCTCAGCTGGGCCACCTCGCCGCCGGGGGGCAGTGGGATGCTCGGCGCAGGTCTGCCTGCAGGCCGGGAGTGGGGTGGGTGGGGCGCGGCCGGGGGTCTCTTACCGTTGCAGTCCTGCTGGGAGCAGCTGAAGGTGCCTCTGCGACAGACACTGCAAACAGAGCGAGGGCCTGAGACGGGAGCTGGCTCCTGGCTGCCGCGCCAGACGTGCCCACCCCAGGCACCAAGCCCTGCACCCCCAGCACTCAGCTCGGCCCCAGCCGTCATCCCCCCACACAGCTGGGGAGGAAGCTGAGGCATGGAGAGGAAGGGGCCTGCCAGCCCCCACCCAGCAGGTCAGTGGCAGAGCCAGGGATGGAA